AATACTGTCATTTCTTCCACCCAAAAAATCTGGGCTTATATCCTAAATGGGCTCTGAAGCTAGTCATCTTGGGTCAGTCACCATCTTTTAGCCTAGCCTACCTTACATGCTTGTAGTAACAATGAACATGAGAAACTCCTGAGTTCCTTAGTGGGAAACTGGAAGTCACATGCCATGACACATTGTACTGTACCATACAAGATTAGATTTGGCTCTGCTTTGGTCCCTAAGGACCGCACTCTGGTTAATACAAACAATGCCTCATTGCCTTGCAGAATGTCCTGTCAAGCAAAATATGGGGAATTAGTCACATTGCAATGTAAATGTAATTGAAAGAGGCTTTGGATGGATGAGATGAGAAAATAGGAGCTGCAGCTGTTCTCGGGAGGTGTACCTTTTTATGATTCGTGCAGACTGTCCATTGTTAAGAAACACTGTGTACCCATTAGTGAATTACCACAGTCAGGTCGTGGTTTGCTGCAAAATAAATGCTTAAGTACTGAGCGCTGAGTGGCTGACAAAAATTACGGTGGTTGTCTCTGGGCTCCCTGCCAAATCCCTGCAAGTGCTGTTGGATCATTTCCAATTTAGCCAGCAGGTGGCAGCAGCCATTTTGCTTGTTCTAAAAAATATACTGTATTGGATAATATTCCTTACACTGTGGAAATCCTTACAGCCTCCTTCTTCCTCCCCACTGCTCTCCCCCCCCCGGGCTATTTTGTCTTCTGCAACAGCAAAGCAGAGTTTCCCAGTTCTCATGTAACGACTCTTATCAGTAGGCTCAACATATGAACCTGCCAGACAACATGCCTCTCCCTAGCAGAATTTAGTTTAGTTGTCCAGAAAGCTAGCACAGCAAAATACATGTTTCCACCACCACCACCCCACTTCTTGTAGCAGAAGCACATTGTAAGTATGCACTGCCAGATTACATGCACAAGTGTGACACCCAACATTTTCATGGCTCACTCGAAACATTTGCTGGTTTCAGAATGAGGCACCCCAACAATAGAAAGAGTGTAACTCCCATTTGTTTTACACTGTCATTGAACAGGTGTGAGATGAAACTCAGGGGGAGATTTCCATCAATGCAGTGGTTATTTCACATACAGTGACTTACATGAGACCTTCCTAGATAGGGCAGAAATTCATTAAATTAATTGACTTTGAATTAATAATCTCTGTGTAATCTCCATGCTATATCAAGCAAAGATAATACCATTACACTTAAACGAAGTCCTAAATTATCTACACAGAGATAATAATAGCAATCGAGGAAATTAATTGGCACTGCATTTTTAAAGTAATTATTAAATCATCCTTTTCCCATTTATCTTTAATTAATTGCCTGTGGCAGGAGTTGATCATTTGGCAACATCAGAAGATTTATTCACATAAAAAGAATTGTTAATACATATGCATTGTTTCACTATGTGGCTGAAACAAGCAACATATGGGGGGAAATGAAACAGTAATTGCCTCGTTAGCATATAGTTTCTGTTTTGAAGTCAGTAATATTTTGCAGGAACATTGCCAGCAAATAGAAACAAGGCAGGACATAGTGTTTATTGTAGGAGAAAGAAGTTGGACATAGCTTTTGTGTGAGGATGTGGCTTGTCCATTACAAAGGGTTACATTACAACGAGTTTAGGCAGTCATGGATCTAGTATGTTCTTGTGTTAACTGGGATTACTTCCTCTTACACAGTATACACCTGTGGTTCTTAACCTTTGCTACTCGGATGTTTTTGAACTGCAACTCCCAGAAACCCCAGCCAGCACAGTTGGTGGTGAAGGCTTCTGGGAGTTGCAGTCCAAAACTCTTGAGTAACCCAAGGTTAAGAACCAGTGGTATACACTTACCCCCAATTTCCAACTAATTCTCTATTGCACTCTTCCGCACTGTACTATATACTCTCCTGCCTGCATCTTTTTATGAACTGTGATTATCACAAAGATTGGCCATGAGACCTTATTTACATAAGAAATTTTTAAGTGCTGCCTGAGCATCAGTGTCTGTTTGAAAGAGCCCTGTATCAGATCCAAATTCCAGTTTAATTATTGATAATAGGAAGAATAAAGTAAATACATCAGTTGTTCAGGCCAAATTCATATCCTCTTCATTTTCATCATGAAGATTCTTGTGTTTTCTTCATGATCCTTGTTTATCTGCTGTCCTGATCTCCCTAACAGGAATTTGTCTGTGGACTTATTTTGATATTTGACATTGTACCTTACATATTTTGACAAATCTAGAGAAGTGTTTAGTCAAATGGTAACTTTTCATGATTTGCTGGCTTGAAGAAAACTATATGACCGAAATTTTTATTTGAAATGTCTAAGATTTAGGAAATAACTGTTTTGTAAATGTATATAGGCACAAGAAAAGAACTTGCCAAAACATACCATGTGTTCACTAGTAACAAATTTGTTTTGAAGGGCAGAGTCTACGTTCCAAATGTGATATTTTTATACATGCACTTGTGTTTCCAATTGATATATTGTGCCTATGAGCTGTTGAAAACCTGGAAAAACTGCCAAGGCATCAAAAATATGAAGATTCACTCCAATTTCCCTTCTCTTTTCCCCAATTCTTTATTGTTCACCTGGCCTCCAGAAGAAATCACAGTAGCAGGTAAGCACTATATATGTGAATGTGTGTGTGCATGCATTTCTAAAATACAGTGGTGCCTCGCTTAATGCGTGCTCCATTTAGCGACGAAACCGCAAAGCGACAAACTATTTGCAATCACAAAAGCGATCGCTTTGCGATGTTTCCTATGGTTTTTTTTTTTTTTGCTTTGCCATGATCCGTTCCCTGTTTCGCTTACTGATCATCGCAAAGCGATGATTTTTTAACAGCTGATCGGCGGTTCCTAAATGGCCACCAGGTAAACAAAATGGCCACCTGCTGTGTTTTCGCATGGATTCCTCGCTTAAGAGGCAGCTAAAATGGCCACCCTCTGGAGGATCTTTGCTTTAAGGTCAGTTTTTAGCCCATAGGAACGCATTAAACAGGTTTTAATGTGTTTCTATGAGCTTTTTAATATCGCTTAGCGACGAAATCGCTTAGCAGCGATTTTTGCTGCACGGATTAACGTTGCTAAGTGAGGCACCACTGTATTTAGCATGATGAAAAAGGACCGAGCCTAGGAAATCAGATCTTCAGCTCATATAAACTGGCATAATCCACTGAAAATTTATCAAATTTATCCTACAGGAGGATTTTGATTCAATGTTTCAAGCATTTACCTTTATTTTGTTTTGTTTCAAGCTTGCCTAATTCCAAGGCTCCTTATTTGCAAGTAAATTCTCTATTGAAATTAGTGGAATTCCTTCTGAATAAGCATTATCAGATTGAAATGCTAGTGAGTGGTGGGGTGATCACAATTTGTGTGTGTGTGTTAATGCTGTCCTCCTGATTTCCAAGAGAGCTCATGGGATGGAGGACTTTATATGAAACTGTATCAAAGACAGCTGGATCATTTGAGTAGTATGGAGTGGGGGATGAGGAATAAACCATTCTAAGACAGATAGCCAGGGAAATGCTGCTGTTCTCAGCAGAGAGGCAAAAATGCCTCCAGCACTGCACCTTAGTTAATTTCAATCTGTCTCCTTATATGAAGTCACAGCTGATTGCATCTATTCTTGGAGGCCTGGAAAAGGGACGCTGAAAAAAGACATCACATGTATATCAAGATGTTTTGCGATTCATTTCAATAAAATTCCACAGAACAGCATTATAAGGCTGCAAATATGGTACTTGTTCTCCTTCCAGCCACATTCAGCCTTGCTGATACTGACAGATTTTTTTTTTAAAAAAAGGCATGTTTATTCCTAGAGTAGTGAAATATAAATTTGAAAATATTAAGGATGCTTTAAATTTAACCTGATGTTTTTGAAATCTTTTTAGATAAGAAAAAAGCAGAAAAGCCTTTGAAGGAAAAAGACAGTAAGTACTAAAGATATATGTATATAATTTTAAGTGGTGCATTAAACCATTGAATTGTGAACTTTCTGAACACTCCCCTCTCATATGAACAATACAAAATTATGGAAGCTGACTTTTGTCACCTTGTATTGTTCTTTGTTTTCCTCTTTTTAATTTCTGCAGGAAAAATGGCAGCGGTGACTCATTTGAAAGAAGAAAAAGCCAAGGGTAATATAAGGATGTACACAAACTCTGCAGGCCATAAATCATATGTTTGAGTTCACATTTCATGGAAGAAGAGCTTTTGAAATCATATAGTAAATTGAAGTAGTTAGTTTTCCAGCAAAGCAATTAAATTAAATTAAACTCCTTCAGACTTTTACCTCAGACAGATGTGAAGGAGAACTTCTGAAGATTATTTCATTGCACAGACAGCTTGGTAGGGGAGAGATGTTTCTCTACTACAGCACTTTGACTTACATTGGAAGGCAATGAAGTTCTTGAAAATTTGGCAAACTGTGTTCCCAACAGCTAGTCCCAGTGAACAGCCTTGTGGCTGTTTTAAACATACAGTATTTTGGAATCAAAACAACTAAAACAGAAATATAACTATTATCCCCATGGAGAGGTGGCTGTAGCAGTCTGTTGCTGCAAAACCAGCAGATAGTCTTGAGAAATATTAAAGGCTAACATGTCTGATTTGACACAAGCTTTTATACTGAATGAAACAATCCCATTGATTCCTAGCACCTTATTTGTATGACTGCCCCCATCCCTTTTTGTAGTAGTTCCAGCTGGGGTAGATCTGACTCCCAAAGCGGTAAGAAATAGAAACACAGACTTTTCACTGCATGCATGGAGTGGGCAGAGAAGCATGGAAACACCACATGGCGATTTGCATTGTGTCCTAGTTGATGAATAGCCAGACCATGGTGTTGAGGAAGCCCATTTCCAGATGTTTTATTCTTCAGCAAGGAACATGCTTTTAATTCCAATCATTAACTGAGGGTTAATCTTTCTATTATTACTATTTTGAAACTATAATAATAAATCAACTGTTTTAATTTATGGAATTGATAGGCATGAGATAATGTGATGGTACCTGCACAGGTGTATATTTTAATTGTAAGACTGACTTTTGGTATCTTAAGTGAATTAGATCCTTCTGTTTTGCTTTACAGTCCCAGCAGTAAAAGAATCCCATCACCATCGTAACATGACAACAGGTAATCTGTGGTTGTTTTCTCTCAGTTTCCCAACATTTCCAGTGCCTATATGTACACTGCCCAGGTCTCTAAGAGTTGGATAGGAATAGGCATGGGAACCTAAACTCACAGGATACTATCATATTGGCCAAATGCAAAGTGAAAGGGCAAGTGTGCAAACTTTCCCCTCCCCTGCTTCAGCAGAAACTTGTGCATGCCCTTTGTTGCATTGCTCATGAGATTTGTTGTACAGCTGGTCATGTGATGAGAAGTCTGCCAAAGCTACAAAAAAACTGTTTATAAGGTTGTCCTTCTACTTCATGTTTAATCAGTAGGAATTCCACTTCAAATTTTGAAAAATTGATATTTGCATTGTACCCCCTGTCATCTATTTAAAAGGCATGTATTACCCCTGAAGTTTTCCCGGGGGTTGGCATGGGATAGGGAAGTCTGGGGGTCCTGGAGACCTCGAAAACATTTGTCGGGGGCACATAGAACCCCTGGGCCAAACTTTGCCTACCCTGGTTTACACAAGCACTGTAATTATTGAATCATGTTCATGTCCTAAACATCTTAGGGCCACAAAATAACAGAAGATGAATCCTTAAGTATAAAATAACAGGATTTGTTTTTAATTATTTATTATTAGGAATACTCAGATTAGAACTGAATATATTGTAGCAATGGTTACAATAGGACTTAAGATCAATTAATTTACTCTTGATTTGGGCCAAAGAAAGTTGATGATACATGGATAGCTGTATTTTCCCCTAATGCTTAAGTGTGTGACAGGTAGACTACTTGTTTTGTCTTTCCAGTTGATAAGAATGATTTTATGACTGGCCACTTTACCAGATTTGTGCTCAGATGCAACATTTTTTAGTGATTGCTTTACAGCCATGTAAAGATGACCAGTTTACCATGTGATTATTTTGCAGGGATTGTTTATTATTATTATTATTATTGATTATCTCTACTACTGTGCGTCTCAAATCAAGTTATTTATTGTCATGCTGGCAATAACAAAGGTCTAATATCTTGCTGGATTTTAATCACCAAAACACACTAGTATGAAAAATATTGCCTATTTTCCATTAAGTCCAGCTTAGGAAAACACATAAGAGGAAGAATGTTGCTTCCAATGACATTTTTAGTACCATCCACTTACAGTGCAATCTTTTACATGTTTAGTCAAAAATAAATCCCACTGCTTTCATAGGAAACTATGCTGAGGATAGTGGACAGGACTAGACAATTTCTTCCGAGGAGAAGATTATCAAATGGTGTAATACATATACACATTTAGGATTTTTCCACAGCTTTTTTGTGGGAGCTGATATCTATGTGGGTTTCATGCAATAGGGATGATTTATAGAGAGGTTGTCCCACAGGTTAGTCAACCCTAAGCTCAGAGCTAGAACTGAGATAACACTCCTAAATGCTCCCTAGCCTATGGAAACTTACCAAAATACCTCATGTTTCATCCACCAGTCTATCCCAGATTCAGGAGCTCCAAAGCATACACAAGAATTCCAACATTTAAATGAAATTCTCTCTTCACTATGTTAACGGCAAGAGCCCACTGCTTGATCTACAGGGCAGTTACAGGGCAATGTTATGTGTTGGCCTGCCCAACATAATGTTGAGCGTATGACTAGAATGTTATAAATGGTTAGATGGATGTCTGGAGCTGTCACCTATATATTCATTGTGTTTCATCATCAAAGATATTGCCTGGTTATTTCCAAAAAAGAGGAATTTGCAATTGAATGAAATAAAAGTAGTAAATTTTTTCAGCATATGTCCAGACACCATAAAGGCCAACCTCTACAACTGCATTTCATTCTAATAAGAAAAGATGAAATTATGATGTAGCCAGGAGGGTTCGTGCACCTCTTGTAGAAACTGGTGACTTTCAAATGCATTTGCACCTCGAGTGGTGGATAACAGGATGGCCTCTTAGATGTTTGCCTGTGCAAAGAGACATTTCCCAGTCCCACTATTGAAGCAAAGAGAAGGGCTGTTAGTGGCACACTGTTCAACTGTCTCTCAGGTTTTATCTGACATTTGGCTTTCTCCCTTTACAGACAAGCTTTCAAAGGCTTCAAAAGCAACAGGTAAGTTCTTCTTAGGATTAATGGCATTGCAAACTTCTTTGAGTCTCAGGTGGCATATACCACTTGTCAGCAATGCATGAAATGTAACTTGATTATAAAAAAATGCTGTTATTCATTCTGTCAGTCTGAGAAAGAATGAGTCATTTGCCCTTGAAAAGCAGCCTGTGGGGAAGTGTTACATGTTTTTAAGATCAACCCTTAAATAAAACGAATTAATCCTGATGCTGCTTTGCTGTGATGGAGAAAACAGGAACTGGCATCAAAAGAGATTTAATACGAGTAATTTTTCAGAGGAGTAAAGAGGGTGGGGTACAAACATAGGATAACTGGTAGACAGTTTCTAAGCACTGATAGTAAGTTTCTGCATGAGCCAGTTAGTACAAAAAGACTGCAGTTAAATTTTATTGCTAAGGTTGTTGTGGGATAGATTGTAAGCGACTGGAAATGAAAATGCAAGCTAAGAGATGTTAGCTAAGAATAACACTTTCCAAATGCAAGACACAGGTAATTTAATATGACAGTAATTACATTGCTGTAGTACATGAATCTTCACTCTTTATTATCCTCCAATGTGTTCTGCCTTTTGAAAAACAACTTGGTAAGTAAAATACTTAACACTGCTAGGTTAAATATGCAACATTTTATCAACAAACCGCTGGGAGAGATTGTCCAGAGTTGTTTGGTGCTACCAGTCTACAGATTATACCCGACTCTTAATTCTCCATTCTACATAAATCCAAAGAACCTGCTTTAATTCTAGATCTGTGTCTGGTGTCTGTAATGAATGAGGTGGATGAGGGCAAATAAACTGAAACGTAATCCAGATAAGACAATCCTGGTCAATCAAAAGGCAGATTAAGGAATGGGGATCCAGCCTGTGTTGGATGGGGTTACACTGCCTCTGAAAACATGGGTGCACAGATTAGATGTGCTCCTAGCTTCATCTCTGAGCCTGGTTGCCTAGGTTTCATTGGTGGCCAGAAGTGTATTTGCACAGTTAAAACAAGTGTGCCAGCTTCACCCATTCTTGGGGAGGTCAGATCTGGTCTTGACGACACATGCCTTAGTTACATCCCAACTGGATTAATGTAACATACTGTGTGTGAGGCTGCATTTGGAAAGTGCTCAGAAACTTTAGCAGGTCCAGAATGCTGCAGCCAGATCATTAACTGGGGCTGTTACTGTATAAAGATCACATAATGACCCCTGTTACATCAGCTCCATTTCCAGGCACAATTCCAAGTGCTGGTTGTAACCTATGAAGCCCTAAGTGGCTTGTGTCCAAGCTTTCTCAAATACTGCATCTCCCTTTATGGACCTGCCCCGGTGTTAAGATCAAATAGCATTTCTCTTGGCCCCACCACCCTCACAGGTGAGTTTGGTGGGGACACAGGAGAGGGCCTTCTCTGTTGCTGCTCCCAGACTCCAGACTCCCCTCCTGCAGGAAGCCAGACTGGCCCCATCTTTTCTATCCTTCTGCAAGAAGACAAAGACCTTTCTCTTCAGGCATCTTTTAGTGAGATGTTTTAAAATGAGATTTTTATTGCTTTTGAATCTGTTTTAGTAATATTTTAATCTACTTTTAATTATAATGTTTATTTAATTTGTTTTGAACTTTTAGTATTGCCCTTTTTTAATGATGGAAGCCACTTTAAATCCTTTTTTAGGAGAAAGATGTTGAAAAAATATTTTAAATAAATTAATGAATAAATACAAGGGATAAATTGGCAATATTTGTCTTAATGTTGTGTCTAGTCTAGTCTAATCTGTTCTGATTTATTTTTATTTGTTCTAGTCTCATGTAATCTAAAGTCCAGCTAGATAGTTTGTCCTGCTTTAGTGCAATTATACAGGGATATATTTGCATGGAAGGTGTATCTATCTGTTTGTTGTTGTTGGACTCCTTCTGTGTTCTTTTATGTTTATAATTATATGCTATCAAGTCAATTCTGACTTATAAAAAATTCTCCAGAGTTTTTTTTAGACATAAAGTATTCAATAGGGGCTTCCCATTCCTTTATTCTGTAGGGATTTGCCCAAGACACACGGACTGACTCTTTTAAAAGCAGAGCAGGGAACTCCCAAGTCCTGAATTAGCCAGGTGTTCTGTCTCACTAAGCTATTCAGCCATTTTTCCTCAGGTACCATTTTGAGTTATTCTACTGAAGTTCAAAATGATCTAAAAACAGAAGCAGTAGCCAGATGCCTAATTGTAGGACATTTCCAAATACTGGCAGTTGAGGTGCATAATGAGGGGGACTTTACTCCACAGATTAGTGACATGGGGAAAGGCACCTGCCTCTCTCCATGTTGTATGAATGCTTTCATGTCTGTGTGGTGATATACAAATATTGTCACAGCATTTTGGAAATTTCTTCCTCATGATGTGATTCTTTAGTATCTTAGGAACTTATTTATGGGGGAACCATGTAGATACATCGAGCCATTTAAGTCCTATCTACACAACTATCATCCATGTGCAGTGGCAACATAGTTGTTGTTGCTGCTGCTATGTGCAATCAAGTTACCCCTGACTTATGGCAACCTCATGAATGAGCAATCTCCAGAGTTTCCTGTCCTCAACAGCCCTGTTCAGCTCTTGCAAACTCAAGCCTGTGAGTCAACCCATCTTGTATTTGGTCTTCCTCTTTTCCTGCTGCCTTCCACTTTTCTAAGCATTCTTGTCTTTTCCAGAGAACCTTGCCTTCTCGTGATGTACCCAAAGTAGGCCAAGCCTCAGTTTCAACATTGGTTGGTTGGTTGGTTTGGTTGGTTTGGTTTGGTTGGTTTGGTCGGTCGGTCAGACGGACGGACGGACGGATGGACTTCTAGACAGCCCAACTTAGTGAAATACTACTTGGGGCAGTTTACATAATTGAGCATTTTTGCCTCCAGAGATAGTTCAGGCTTGATTTGATCTATGGCCCACTTGTTCATCTTTCTGGCAATCCAGGGTATCGGCAAAGCTTTTCTCCAATACCATATTTCAAACAAATCAATGTTTTGTTCATGTCAGCTTCACTGGCTGGGACGTGATGCCATTCTTTCCTGGGAGCAGCTTCAGCTTTCACACCCTTACATAGTGATTGGAAATACGATAGTATGGATGATCTTGGCCTTTGTTTCTCGTGCCACAACCTTACACTTGATAATCTTTCATAATTCCTTCATTTTTGCCCTTTGAAGTCTCAGTCATCTTCTGATTTCTTGGTCTCAGTCTCCATTTGGATTGATGGTTGAAGTACACAAAATCTATAACCAGTTTCTTCTTTGTCAGTGTCAATGTTGTGTATTTCCCCTGTAGTCATGATTTTGGTTTTCTTGATATTCATTCAACTGCAGCTCTGCCACTTTCTTCTTTTACTTTCCCTAACAGTCATTTCAAGTCATTGTTTTTTTCTGTCAGTAAAATAGTGTCATCTGTATATCTTAAATTGCCAATGTTTCTTTCACCTATTTTCACTTCTCCTTCATCTGAATCTAGTCTGACTTTCCATATGGTATATGATATGTTCTGCCAATGTTTCTTTCACCTATTTTCACTTCTCCTTCATCTGAATCTAGTCTGACTTTCCATATGGTATATGATATGTTCTGTGTAAGGATTGAATGGTATCCTCCTGGGGAGGTTCTCTGGGTTGGCGATTGGGGGCCTGGCCTTGGCCTGGCTCCAGTCCTTCCTAGAGGACTGTCCTCGGAGAGTACAGCTTAGGGAGATGTTGTCCGCTCCATGGACTCTCAATTGTAGAGTCTCACAGGGGTTGATCCACTCCCCAGTGCAATTTGATATATATGAGGCTACTGGGAGAGGTAATCAGGAGTTTTGGGATTGTGGAGTCTCACAGGAGTTGATCCACTCCCCAGTGCAATTTGATATATATGAGGCTACTGGGAGAGGTAATCAGGAGTTTTGGAACGTTGTGCCACCAATATGCAGATGATACCCAGCTCTATCTCTTCTTCCATCCTTCTGCAGTGCATGCTGTCCCATCCCTTGATTGCTGCATGGACACTGTGCTGGGGTGGATGAGGGATAATAGACTGAAGCTGAAACCAGACAAGGTGGAATTCCTGTGGGTGGGTGCCCCTAGTGTCTGCAGTCTGGGAGCTTCCCGTCTCTTTTGGGGCCCCCACTCTTTTCGCGAAAGATGAGGTTCACAGCTTGGGTGTTACTCCTGGACCCAGCACTATCAATACAATCTCAGATAGTGTTTGTGGTCTGTTACACCTATTTCCATCTAAGGCAGATTACCTAGATGCATTCCTACCTTGACACTGGGTCCCTCACCACACTGGTCATGCATTGGTAGTCTTGAGATTAGACTATTGTAATGCTCTCTATGTGAAGCTGCCCATGGGTGGGTTACTATGACTTCAGCAGGTCTAGAACTTGGCGGCCAGAATATTGAGTGGGGTAAGGAGACATCAACACATTTCCCCCACTGGCTGCCCTGCACTGGTTACCTGTCCATTTCTGTGACAGCTTTAAGGTGATGGTGTTAACCTATAAGGCCTTAAATGGTTTAGGACCTCAATATCTGGCAGAACGCTGCCTTCCAACTAGATCTGCCCATCCTGTGAGATCTTCTCAGGTTGGGTGGTTGAGAGTGCTGACCCCAAGAGAGGCCCAGAAAATGATGACCAAAAATCAGGCCTTCTCGTTGGAATAGTCTCCTGCCCAAAATATGCCTGCCCCCTTCACTGGGAACTTTCAAAAGATTACTAAAAGCATGGCTGTTTAGATACGCCTTCCTTGACTCGAGAAAATCTTAATAAAGTAGTGTTTTTAATAACTATACATTAAACCCTTCACCATGCCTTTATTATTTTATTATTTTTATTATTGTAAGTATTGCACTTTGTTTTAGTTGTTAATCGGTTATTCGTGTATCGTTGTTTTGTAATAACGGTATTTGTAAACTGCCCAGAGTAGCCATGGTTGCCAGATGGGTGGAATAAAAATCAATCATTCAAACAAACAAACAAACAAATAAAATACA